TGTAATGCTATTGCTCCGTCACAAGGGATGCAGCACCAAATCGAACGGTCATACATTTAGTAATAACGGGCTGCCTGATGTTGCCCTCGACAGATCATTCTATCTTCCTCACACACTTTTTCCTTACTAACTTCATTTCAATAAGCATGCTGTCTTACTATTATGCTATACACTACAGCTGTGGCGATAGTGCCGGCGCTGACTCGCTGTAATATATGGACAGACCAAACAGGCCAAGAAGCGCAGGCCATCGCGATGATATGCATGCTATATGGAGGAGAAAGTTTGCTTTTCTTGCTTGACTGACTACGGCAACAGCCACTATCGTTGCTTGGCGCACAATGCGTAAGCATTGTCGCGTTGTATAGAAGTACGACGTGGGTAGGAGAAACAGCTACGCTAATCCTACCGAAAAGCCGACGAGCGTTCTGTGGGCCAGCGCGCGTTTACATCAGGAATAATGAGAAAGACGATTATATACCACCCGGAGCTCCTACTGTTTGTCCTCTTTCGATGCTTAGCCTTTTTCCGTCTACGGAATCCCGCCTGCCTCATCTCAACGAGGCCCACACTGACTTACGCCCACACATGGACAAGATTTACGTTGTTGTCCCTAATTCTGGCCATCTGGACCCCCGCCTCGCGATCGTTCGGTTGCCTCCCTTACCGGCTTATGTAGAACCGTAAAGCAGATCCGAGCGTGCCTTTTTCCGCTCGTTCAGCCAGCGAGGCGCTTGTCTGTTCGTCCTGCCAGCAGCAGCATTAGAAGCGTCTCTAGTATCGTCGCCCTGGTAGTAATATATTATTCGACTAAGTGGGTAGTCATCGCACCGCAGATGATATCTCATGAAGCGCACCCCATCAGATAGCGAGGCAGGGGCCTGCTTCTCAGAAAGCAACCCCCGATTTCGAGCCGTCTCTAACGGCGAAGGCGGTGGTTGTATGATGGCTTTTGCGTGCGAGTGTGAGCTTCTTATGCGTCTCTATAGAATACTAGTGAATGCTATGTCAAGGCCGCCAACGGGAGCGAAAACGTACTCGATGAGTCGATGTACTGCGGTCAGCGTCGACTACCATCATCCGAGTGGTAGTAGCAGTAGTCAACGCAACCAGCGAAAGACGGACGATTATGTACAGACGGAAATTAGCTCAGCCCCTAACTAGCTGTCCCTTGGGCCACCAAGACAAAGACCCAGAATCTAACATTAACGAAACGGGTTGTGTGCGGCTACTCATTTACCAATGATGCTGGATGGTACTTGAGTAGTAAAAGAAGGACGAAAACAGGGCGTCACCTAACGGATTCGCCACCCGCGCGAACAGATAGTTCCGCCTGCCCGAGGCTGCATTGAACAGTGCGGAATGAACTACTTTGAGCGCTGTTTTTTTGCAATTGCCATCGACGGATAAGGTGCTACTGTTTGTTTTTTTTTTCAATCCGCGTCGTTTCTGCTTATCGAGCACTATCGGATGGGCGACACCCAAAAGCCGTGGGGTGCTTCATGTCGAAGATTGCACACCGCAGATCGCACCATGAGGATTCATACGATGAAGGCGCATGCATTGCCGGCATTTTCATATGGAGTCCAAGCACCCATTCGGCCGCGAACAAACATTACAACCACAAAATACAATCGGATTCGGTTTGATCGCTCTTGCTGATGGCCACTCAAGCGATCCGTAATCAATCATCGCGGCGAAATAATTGATGCACACTCGATCTCTGTCTTACCCATAATGGCGGGAACTATGAGTTTAGCCATAAATGTACGAATATCGAAGGGGAATATCACATGATGCTTGAATGCTGAGCTCTGTAACCAAAGCATCCTTACATATACCAAATACAGATTACTATAAAATTGTTAAGGCTTACCAAGGAAAAGGGTCAAGTTGAAGCTATCAAACAAAAAGCACTTTTATACACAACAAGTTCAGGTTGTTATACCTATATATTCTCTTTTTTTTCTGATCTTATCGCTATCAAGCAAATTTGAGTGTTTGAACAAACTGAAACCCCTTGAATCAAAATTAGCGGAATGCCGAAAGCCTTTTACTTGCGTAAGTTTGCATCCTGTAACCATATCAGTTTCTTCGAAAAGGCACGTACACACATAATTCCAAGTCATCTAAATTTTTCGAGGTAACTTCAATTGTATGCCCACGCGCAATCTATCTAGACGACTAAAGTCAATACTACATATTATGCTTTAAGATGCGTTTCAAGCGAGTTAAGTGCGTTCTCTTGGCAATACCGCCGGCGGTTACAATTACATTCTGAGGGATACGTCGGCGAAAATTTTCTCCTATCGGCGTCGTGCACCATGTACGTCAGCGTTTCGCGCCAGGCCTCTGATTAATCCGTAACAGTGCAGGAGTTACGTCTCTGCTTTTTTCTTTCTCGTGTTATTTTGAATGAGCCAGGTTAAGGAACAAAATAATATGATAATAATAATAACAATAATAGAAAACAACGTTTCTTTGATGTTTACGACGAATAGGTAGACTTCTTGCTCGCAGTCGTAGTTGAACTACTTCAAGTTAAGCTCCTGGTAGCGTGTTTACATTAGGTCAGAGTAATAATATCAGTTAGGTTGCGGAAAAGTCCCGGGGCACAATAATGATGTTTTTGATCCGAGCTAAAAGGACCATTTCTTTGTTTTTACCTTGTCAAGCTGCGCGAATTTGTAGCAAAGCGATAGCTTGCATCTTTTTAATATGAGTTGTAAATTTCACACACCCTTTTCGCTTTTGCCAACAAAATAAGTCGATTTACAGTCGACAAATACTATAATCGGATTAATGAACAACGGTGAAAATGCTCTGAAAGCTTCCGTGTAGGCGAATGCTAAGCACTTAGGATCGTGTTCAAAAGCTGCGTTTAACACGATATTGTCTCATTGCCCTGACAGTGAGACGTCTGGAAGTATCCGATGAAGACCACCGCCCAAGTAAAAGCTATACGCTCTCATGCGTTCTAGTTACTATTGAGCTTCAAATTTTTCTGTACATAAGCAATATCAATGTTGTATTATCTTAGTAAGAATTTACTATTATTACTTTTATTAGAATTTCGTGCATCTGCCACATTATCCGGGGATCGGTCCGGAACTCCGCCTTTCATCGTCACCTCGAAGCCATGTGAAAGTGAGCGGACATACAGCAGAAACCTCTCCAAGCACAGGAAACCTCTAACGGCAACACTGAAATCGCCGGGGGGCAAATGGCGATATTTGGCTGACCCGATGACGAATCTCCATGATGAAACCAAAAGCAGTGGCGGTCGGTGGCCTTTCTGAGAAGTAATTCGCTGTGCTCTTCCCATTTCCAGCGGCCACTCTTACCCATCGCTAAGGGTTTACCTTCGATGGCAGCAAACTTTTTGCGAGAGCTCGTCGACTGAGTCTCCCTTTTATCCATGGCTGCAATCTAAGGAACAAACGCTAATTGTTACATCAGATGATGGGAACAGCCCCACACGACGAGCTCGCCACTCAGATGTTCATTGCATCCAAAGTCTGACTACAACCTATCCCGGTCTTAAATAACGGGGGGAAGCATTGGTACCTCTTGAAACGTTTAGTGATAGAATTTCCAAATGGCCACATCAACATGAGTACAATGGGTTTCCTTGTGCACTAAGTGACTTGCCCAATAGTTCCACGTTGCGTCCGTTTACGTTTCGAGAAACTGATTCGTTGACTGCACTATTAGTGTATCACCAATTGAATATCAGCTTAGAGCTTCGTCCTCTTGACTGTGTTTAAGTGTACCTATTGTCGATGAACGCGTGCTATAAGCACTTAGTGGCAATAGTGATCGCCGCAACGCTATCGACTTGGAAATCTTAGAATAAGCTTCAAATCATTGCTAGTGCCTTGGATCAAATCGAAGATATTTTTTACGGCCTGAAACCTAACGAGGGGATGGCAATGAGTGCGTGAACGACGAAAAAGTCTCACCCGCTTGATTTCGCACTCAGGTAAGGTTAAGGGAATGAGCCGACATTAAACAACGTACTTGTCCTGCGTTTGTACTTGGAAACAAAACAGAGTCCTAGAAAAGACCACAGTGACGCCTCATATATAACGCGTGTTTATGTAAGAATATGGATATTATTAACGAAGTGGTCGACTTCTAACACCACGATTTTTTAATATATTTACAAAGGATGCTATCCAAGGTAGTTCTTTGAGGTAATATATTGTAATTAATACGACCGTGCTGGCTTACTGAAATATCATGACACTGTATTTTCGTCAAGTAAAAGTTCAATTGCGTCATGGACGTGTCTACCATATCTAGCGCAAGTTACTCCCGTTTCAAGTTAGAAGGCGCATACGGTCGATGTTGTGATTCTGTACACATGAAACTTTCATTTTTATGGTAGTCTATTTAAAAATGTCTTGTGATGACGACGATTGAGTTGCATCGAATACTACAGTTCTCAGACGCTCACTGACAACAAAATAGATTTAATAATTTTTTTAGCTAATTAATGTTAGTCTAAAGGTTATGTCTGAGACGCATTTCTGCACGCTATGTTGAAGCGACTTCAGCGTACAGGCTAGTTCTATCTATCTAGAAAGATCCTGAAGATTATTAATCTTCAGGCAGGTACCATAACGTGCGAGCACCAATAATATCTCTCAAGATATATGTAAGGACACCAACGGCAAGTGGGTCTAATCACTGCGAGGCGAGGTCTGTTTCCCCAATCTCCTATCGTTATTTAACCGGTGTAAATAGCAGTACTTCGTCCTCCATCCCTCCTCATCTGAGGTCGTGTCGTCGTTTTCCGGCCGATTGAATTCAACCTAGAAAACCTCACCAGACAACGTGGTAAACCCTCTCTAGGGCTCTACCTATCAAAAGAAAGTACGCATCCCTTACCCATTATATGCTTGTAGCCTAACTAGTACGCAAACCAAATAGCTATAAAAATTATTGTGTCGATTTACAGGGCTCTGTATTGACCGGGCACTGAAATACGTTAGAGCGCCGGTAAGTAAGCACACAGATCTCTACGTTAGCGAGCAGCTTTCTTACCACTGGGTCAATGTTTTTGTACCTGTTACAGCAAACAAACGCCTGTAACGAATAGGCTATACGTAAACGTTTTCATCCTAGCAGCAGACGAGCTTGAACCTCATCCACTAGGGTGGCAGCAAGATAAATGTGTTGCGAACTTCTTTACAATGTGTCGAGAGACCAGAGATATCATATGCTTGAATGTTCCTATGTTCTATTGTCGATTATTAGATAATTTCATCCACTTTCTTTTTTTTTTCCGTTTAAACTTCATAAGCCCACGATGGCGCGTCTTACAGAGCACTGACGTTCACAGTTCCCACTGCCGATACACTCGGTAACGCCTTATGGATCCACTATCTAATCTGTCCTTTATACACGAACATTTGATTAAACTGCACCGGCGGTGCATTCGGCCTAGAAATTTGCCAGAGGCCTATGCCTCGTTTTGTCCTATCCTCGACGGTCGTCTCGTTCTGCCACCGCTCTTTCGGCCGCCTTTCTCCACTCGCTTTTATCATGGACCCGAACACGCTGCTAGTGTATTTCTGTCGTCTAGGGATCTTCTAGTCTACAGTGTCGTACAGTATAATAGTTCTAGTTTGGTGGCTGCCCGCTGCAGTAGCTGTGAAGAAAAATAGCCAAGTATTAATGGATGACGCCCGATTCACACAAATCAGCCTGCGCAGGATATGTACCCATTGTCATCGGGTTGACTCGCCAACTGGTAGGTTAGTTACCCGTGTATAAATAATAGGGTTGGGTATTTTTCCTTTATTAACAATAGTATTGTTCGAATATACCAAGTAACAACTGTATTACGACTGTGTCATTTTTAAAAAAATGTATCGTTTTCAATTAAAACCTAATTATTAATTAATTAATTATGTTCGTTGCATTTGTAGTTGTTCATAGGCTCGATGTTGCTATTCAATAAATGACAATAATGCAGTTTAGGTTTTTGCTATAAGTTCAAATCAATTGAACTTGTTTGTTTAAGTTTATGTATGTATGTATGTATGCATGCAAAAACAAACGTACAAAGCTATTCGGGTAACTTATGCGCATAATTGATTCGTTATCTAGTTGATACCCAGCTCTGTCCAGCTCCATAGTAGAAGGCGTGGTACTATCAAGTAAGCCTAGTTGCTTTATCTGTAACGACGACAAGCTGAGTTCGCCATGTAACAACTGCGCGAAAAAATTCAAGGAGGACACAGAAAAGCATTGCTCAATTCCATAATCGCTCTAAAGGTACACTACTCGTATCTGAAAAATCAGTGCATAAAAAATAATAGGTCATTGGATGCAGATAGTATACCACTAATTTTTAGACGTTCAAATGTAATCTTTCCAAAATGGAGCCAGATCGACTTGCTTTGAAAGTCTTAATGAGGAGCTGTGCAACAGTGTCCTGTATTGGTAACCCACATATTCGATCTATTGGGTAACATGTGACAAGCAAGAAGACAGTATCTTTGAACAATTGTTAAGAACAAAGTGGAGTCTCTTATAATATTGTCACGCTGGTCATTTGGTTTTAAGGGGTATATTTTGCAATCGTGTATTTCACCCGGAAACTGTGGCGCAAGAAGTGCTTGATAAGAGTCCGTTTGGCGGCGAGCGCCGAAACGCGGTGCAAGCAAGGGATTAGATATGGCCGGAACAATCGGATCTAGAAAAAAGAGAACAGCCGCAATACAGCCAAGTGCTATAGAGTTACCAGCAAAGATTCGTCCCTCCCGGGACTCACCTCAGTCTCCAGCTATCTAAAGCATGAAACTACGACTCACTTGGGCCCTCTAAAGGCAGAACAAGAAAGCGCCAACTTCACTTTTGTCCTATTCTGCCACCACATGAATTTGCATGACCTCGAAGGCTTTTACTATAAGTCGAACAATACAGGGTAAACAAGGGACGCATAAACAATAATTTCACCGTAGTGATTATAATAATAGTAGTATTTACGTGAATCATGAATAAATGAAATAACTTGGACAGACTGTATTAACAAGAAGTCTTAGTTCTTTTGTAAATATGCAGCCTGTTCCTTAGCCTACTTCAATTTAAAATGTTTAGAAACCTAGGCAGAAAGGCAGCGAGGGAACAAGCGAAGTAAGGATTGAGGGGAACCAGATACGACGACTTTGCGGGCAAAGCTCGTTACGCTTTCGGTGCTTAAGACAAATGAATAGCTCTGTATTTTCTCAGATAACCTTTTCGCTCCGCTCAGGGATCAGTACGATAGTTCTCGTGAATCTGTGAATTTCTATATGTCTATATACCTCTACAAGCAATCTGGATAAGGCAAACGTGCGCGTTGTGCCTTCTCATGGTCTTCATACAAGAAAATAGCTCAAAGGAGTCGATTTCTCAGAGGTGTTGTTAATCATTATTAGTAGCATTATTGCAGAATAATACGAAAAACGTATATAAAGGCTTACACAAAGATCATTCTGGTGCAGTTCATCGTAAGGATAGCTCGAAATCTTTTTGTTAGGATAGATAGCTGTCTGTCTGGACGAGAACTACAACCTTATGCGGATCGCCTGTAGAAACTTGCTTATTCAGTTGCATACTGGCATGTCGTAATTATAAACCTTAGTTTTGAAGTATTTTAAGATAGATTTCTCTACGAACTTCAGTCTCACATAAACAATCCTCATGCATATATTTGACTAAACTTCATTTGAGTACCTGCTACCGACCTGATTGAAAACGCAGCTTATTTGCATTTTCCCGATGCGGCCGTCGATCAGATCATATAAGTCCACTCGTTTTCGACATCTCCCAACCTTGTTGTTTCAGTAGTTTCAAAATCACAACGAGTTTCTGAAATAGCACCAAAACGATAAATGACTATATCTTGGCTAACCCCGAATAGCACTATCTTTCTGCTGGAATAATGGAAGCACTGAAAGCGAAACTGGGTATAAGTACTATTTTTTTTCTTAATACGTTGTTTTGCCCGTCATTGAGACGAACCACCATCAGTTCCTCGTTCACAAGCAATAATACTTCAATACCTATCCAAAACCGCGCGTTGCTCTAGCGGCCACTACTTGTTTGGCACTAATGTTTAAAAAACATTTTTGACCAAATATATACCTACAACATCACTTCTCGTCGTCCGTATTTCCTTATAGATAAAAGAATACATTGACGGAACGAAAGCCAACAACGCGGCCGGCCGAATGGAGGGACTCCGAAGATTTCAGTAGTAGCTTATTTATAACGGCCGTTAAAAGTTAATGTGTTGGAAAAAAACAACGTCCCGAACTTTGTGGGTTTACTTTTTTAGGCTGGTAAACAAGTACGCCTATCTAGCTAGAAGCCTTGCCTAGAGTTAGACTTTCCAGTAGCGGGACTTTTACTAACGTAATCGGACTGCTGGAACGTATTTTAGCTACGACGCTTTTTTTCTGTTAGCATTCACTGTGCCTAATGACTAGTTACAACTCGGCAATATGGATTTGACAGTGGTCGTTCAATGGACACACAACGATTTGCCAGTGGTACATCAGATCAATAATAATAGCACGTACATACACGTGGATATATTGCACGCGGTTGCTCATCAAAAACCGGTGCGTTAAGTTTTGCCATTGATATATTTACGTGGATTTATGCATGGGCGTAAATCATGTCGTGGCATTGAAGTTTTTCGTTAGACGATAAGAACTTCTCCAATAAAACGGAAGATTAAAAACGCACCACAAACGTCTGAAAATCTGCTTTAAAGACGTAGATGAGAAAACGTAAGGTACTTTTCAGAAGCACCGTTTACTTGCGTGATTTCAAAAACTTGTTGTGTATAAAGTATGTAAGTTAGTTGTCTGGCGTGCTCAAGATTTTCTCGAAAGCGAATTCCTATATCGAGTAAGTGTACATTATATGAAATATTCGGGTGTATACACTCGGGTCTATCGCATCAGGCTGTATAATACGTAGGCTGTATAATAGATCAAATGGCCTGCGAAGGTGGAAAATATAGGAACACGCAGATACACTGGCAAATGATTTGCTAGGCTTAAAATCAGCAACCCTGGTTGACCCTGTATTTATTTCCTTTTTGTTGAATTGCCTTTTCCGGCTTCTTGGTAGATAATTGCCTCTGCAAATAGTATCATTCGTATCAATATTTATAAGATTTTTCAAAGTTAACTTTGTGACAGAATATCGGCCGCTGATCCGCATAAAACCAGTATTCCACTTAGAACATCGTTGAAACAACACTCGATACCACATAATTAAACAGTTATATACGGTGTATATTTTGTTCGACAATCATTTCTACAAATTTCTTGCCACAAATAGGGCCATCCTGTTCCAGCGGTACTGAAATTGGCAAACTTTGCCTCACACTTTATTTTGAAGATCTACCAAAACTTAAATAGAAACGCGTATACCTTATGGCGATGTAAATGCTTTGATACCTTACTGTCATTAGCCTTTGTTCCGTACAGTGAAGATCTTGAAGTGAAGTTCTTGAGCAAACGTTCACCTCTGTGCGTGCTTTTCGTTGCTTTCTTACTAACAAGAAACAAGCGTTTACGCTTAGGAACGTCTTCAATCAGTTAGCGTGGACGGGAGATGTTAGCTTGTGGAAGGTCAGGACAGCAGACCTTGACGCTGCCGCCTAGACAAGCGACCTCTTGTGATCTTTAATGCGTCCCCAGAGGCCTCATCGGGAATTGAGTGGCGGATCAGCGGGAGGAGACGCATGAAGACAGCAGACATCAGTTGAGCTGAAAGCCTCATGGTGCATGGGTGTACGTTGAAAGTTTGGTGAAAATCCACTCACGGAAAGTTTTATTTGGACCGCTGCAAGCAAATAGGTCGCGTGCATTCTATCGGATTGAAGTGAAGGGGTTCGAGGAACTTGTGGGGTTTCGGAACACATCGGCGCTTAGGTGGCGAGGAACAACTCCATCCGGATATTTCACCCGAGTTCATGTTCCATCGAAACCTGAAAGAAATGGAGAACGGCAATAGCGGCAGTTTTTTTTTTTGTTTCCAAAGAAATTGGCGCCTGAAAGACGAAAACGACAACCACGACAACAGCAATAACAACAACAACAACGACACTGTCCGGCCAGCAGTCCATCCTGTAACGTTTCCTTCTTACTTGTAGTGGTCTGATGCAAGTGGCTTTTTTTCACAGCAGCGAGCACTACAGAAGAACAGAAGCGGCAGGAGACCGATGAAATTACAAAAGGAAATGCCAGCGCCACAGGAATAGCTACTAAGGACGCGTATTCTTATGCGGATATTTATGTACGTTCTTCGTTCTCATTCTACTATTGAATCTGCTATTACACGACAAATACAATGTACGTATCCACCTGGGCGCATATAGGAAAACACGTGCATTCAACATGACCTAGTCACAGGCCTACTATTGCGGAAGAGCACCGCTTCTCACTCATTGTCTCAAAACAGTACAGTTAGTACTATCAATAGGAAGTGGCAACAATTCGTGTATACTTTAAACACGCTAGTTACTGATAATAGCAATTTGTATCCACGTGGCTAATTAGCTTTCTTCAGTTATTCAGCAGAAACGGAACGCATCCTAGCGCCCTGGTGTTCTACCTTTTACCTGCGTTGCTTACATTACTATCTATTTTAGACAGAGAGGCGTATTAGAAGCGATTGTTAGATTTATGCACGCCACAATAAAAAACTATAGATGCGTACATGAATAGGGTAATGACGCATAATAGAACAAGTATATGTGGAAAAGAGTAGGTTTATCCAATTCAAACTATTCTGATGTCAATCATTAGCTTTGTCGGTGAATTTTGTTGTTCGTGAGAATAGAAGATGATCGGGGACGTCGAAAGTAGCCTGCTACGATTACAGTTACGAGGTTATGTGCGTGTCGGATTTGTCGATTTTGGCAATTTGTCGAACGAGGATAACTTGGCAGGCTATCGCGGGAAAAAGGGTACTCAGGCACGCGCACAACGAACATTCGCCATTGGGAGGTATTGCAAATGGCGTACAAAAAAGCCCACGCGTAAGTGTGTGTTAAGGGGCGGAGGGTGCCGGGCCAACCAGGACAAACTACGCCACGGTAAGGGCACTATCAAAGCGAGAGGGCTAATATCAGATAGAAAAAGCCCATTCTGAATTTCTCTTTCCCGATTCCACTCGTTGAGATCGGAGAAAGCGGATCAGCGAAGCAGAGAAAATGCCAACAGAGAATGAGCAGAGACACAGAAATAACGACAGAGATAAAAGCTGGTAAGACTGAAGCGTAGATAGCTGGCCCTGAAAGGAAAAGGCTTTTCTAAAGTAAAAAAAGATGAGATAACGCGCCAGTGAAAGCGGGACAGAAACGATAAGAGAGAAAAGAGCCAACGCCTGAGGGAATGGCGAGAACGGGTTCGAAAAGTGTGTAATACGAACACCAGGAAGAATATGCACGAGCCGACTAGTTAGTTAGGGAGCAAAGATACGAATTCGCTGGTGACGCACCGTGGAGTGCCGCTCCTCGAGGCGGAGCCGAACGCCTTAAAGTACTCAGAGAGGTAAAACAAACGACGTCTGGTTTGAGTAGACAACAGGGTTTGCAAATGCAGGAACACTACGAATAACGTGGATATGGGGAATGAAAGAGCGACGGAGGTGGACCGAAAAGATTCGAAGATGAGATTCAAATGAGGACCGAATGAACCTGCAAGGTGCCCCTGTTCCTGCTGCTCCCGCCGTCGCCGGTGCTGATCTGGCGGTGAAAAACGAACAACCGCACCCGTTCGCAGCACCTTTACGACTCACGTTTAACTGCGAATCGCCGAAAAGCGAAGGGAACGCAGACCAGGGACGACCGTAGAAAGATGCAGAATAGGAATTGGGAAATAGGTTTCGGAACAGCGGCGCCGCGGAATGCAGGCTAGATCGGCAAACATGCCTGTTCCACTTTTTGATGCCCGCGCACTGCTCCATCAGCTCCGTCTATTCCTCCATATGCCTCGCTTTGGCAAGTACTTCTGCGTGTGTCTCTAGCCTCGAAGAGAATGATCCCCTTTCAAACACATGCCTTTGGAGTACTTTGCTAACACTTTGAAGCCGTTTTCCTACCCATTCCTTCCCTTCATGCGGAGTTTCAGTAGCCCGGAAAAAGAGGTGCCTATCATGTATGCGCGCAATTACGCATCTGTGTCTTGGTAAGGGTAATCCGCTTCGAGTCATTCCGTCGTTGTTGTAAAAGAAAATCGAATTCAGAAGAGAAGCAGGGATACATTGAGGGAATGTGAACATTTATCTCTTGGGTCCTCCCTTTCAGGTAGGGAGGGAGGGGGGGGGGGCAATTTAGAGGGCAGCACTGCTTTCCAGCCGATGAACGATATTTGTAAAAGGTTATTCGAGAAGGTTACGAACCCGAGTAGAATGAAGAGTAGGTGTACTACCAAAATAAAATCGGTGTGTTGTATCAATAGCAATGCAAGTTATTAGCAACCCTTGTTCTCGGTTGCTTTGCACAATTATGGCGACCGTGATATAAGATTAGTTCTTGGAAAACCACATCAATATGGGTGAGAAGGCAGCATTTCGGAGGATGCGTTCCTCTGGAAATTGTAAAGCATATGCATTTCAAATTTTATAACGGAATTTACAAGTTAACTTTAACAACTCAGTATATCGTATAATTATCTGTTCCCGTTCTATCGAAACAAGCAACTTAAGGTACAGTTTGCTCAAAAACGTTAAAAGAATATACAAAGCTGTTTTTAGCGTATGATGTCGAACCCCAGTGCGCTGTTGTATTAGTTACACTGTAGGATTACTCATGTCACAGTGCAATTAATTTCTGCCATAGAAAACGTAACTATAATAACATGTTGACGTGGACAGATGCCTTAAAATAGGAAGAGCCAGTTTCGGGAAGGTTTTCCTTCCAGAGTTGAGCCCCGTTGGACCACAGCTGGCCTTGGTATTGTTTGCAGGTATGCTGATAGCTTTGTTACTACTCGTTTAAAATGCCCGGTCCGCTAAAATGCTTGATAGGCGATATTGTATGGTGTTGAAAAATACGATTTCATTACTTAATAGGGCCTGATTGCTCTAAGCTTAACTGTGAGCCTATTTATTTTTGCTATATTCCATATTGTGACCGACATTTTATGCGTTTGCCATATGAGCCTTCGCATAGCAGGTATAAATCGCTTGGTACACGCGGGTGTTTTTGTATTTCTTGATAGATTCTTTAGAGTGTATCTCATCGGCCCGTGTGGTATTTCCTACTTCTTGACTTTGTTGTGTTTAGGTACGTCTTTAACGAATTGTTCTTGACATGGCGCAAATAGGGCGGGGATACTTTGAAGTAAATCTGTGGCATGCACTGAGTGACCCAGGTATGACGAAGAACTTTTAGCTTTCGGGTAAAACGTGAGAGATGGCATCCGCCGACAAGGATCAGCATAGTAGGGGCTAATTGTATACGATCTTCAGAAAAAGCCTGCTCGTAACGAGGCATCTTTGAAGGCTTTGCAAAAATTGAGGTACTTTAAAAGTGAATAGTTTTATACTTGTTCTTGTTGAATCCGCCGCCATTTACGAGATTATGTTTGGCATCCTACAGCACGCAAGAGACGCTCTTTGAACTGTTGATTTGAAGAGTTTGAGCATTGGAAGACAAGCTCCATGAAAAGAGTAAGCGCATCACCTGCGAGATATACACTAACCGAAATGGGTTCGGGTGCATATATATTCTGAGACCTTTCTTTTAAACATGCTTTAAATATAATGAGTAAGGTATTTTTTTCACAGCGTCTGTAGCATGCTCTATATTACACATTCGTTACAAAACGGCCCCTTATGCTAACGAAATATCGAATTAAAATGTTTATTTGTTGCTTATTGCTACACAATGATGTGATCGAAGGCTTAACCGAAGATCGAATAGAACTTTATTATTATTATTAAGTTACTGAAGTATCTATCATTGAAGAAACAAGAGTGCCGAGCAAATTTGCGAGATGTACAAGGCGAGCCAACCCCAACGTTTGTACTTGCAAAGCTGTTTTTAGCCAGATAATTTTTTCGATTAGGGAGAATGCCACGTTTGCGGATGTAGTCTTGCAGATTGGCCTATGATGATATTTAAAGGCTACCTTTTTTTTACTAATCGCTTGACGACTGATTAAACAGCAACTTGAAAGGCCATTTTTATTCATATGGGACTGTCGTCTTAAGAGCAATTGGAATCATATTCTTTCTGTGTTTAACAGCTTTTTAGTGTCCTATTATATACCTATATAGAACTCTCGCCATTTCAAATCGGGTTTTGTCGTGTCGTTCCCGTCGAAAGTCAGACGCTACACGAATTATAATGTCTCGTAATTGAAGTGCTCTTCTTCTGTTTTTGTTTGTATCCTTTCTTGGCTATTTTACATGTTATTCACCTATACGTTGTTTCGATGTCCTGCTGCTCTGATGCTCTATGTATGCTTCTGTAGCTTGGCTCAACAAAACGATCTTTTTCTCTTACGGTGTGTGGTTCATTTTTCGATATTTCCCGTTTGTTTTTGCACACTTTCCTCGCTCTGCGGCATTTGCTCAAATCAAATGATTTCTTTCCCCATCACAGATTATTTCTATCGTCGACGCCTGCCTTCTCTGGAAAAAGGCGCGATAATCTAGATGTCAGACTTTCGCAATTGGGTCAGATTTTTTCGCGTACATTCAGTATTTGTGCAGTGTGTTTCATGTCTCGTACGGAACGCGATAGCATAAGGAAGACATTTTTCCTCATCGCCTCGCGGACTGCTGTGCATGGCTGCTAAGAACGAGGCGAGGTACATCCTCTATTGTCTCGTCTTGTCCTACAGAATACCAAAGACTCGCGCCAATAGACAACTAACGCACAGGGAAGAGCTATATCAAACAGTGCGTAAAGCAAGCTGTAAATGTGTAATAGCTGCTGATGGCTA